CTCTTGCACTTTCAATACCATATGAGATTAATTTTAATTGTCTGATCTATTTGTCGATATTACATCTCCACAAATTCTAGGGCAGAAAAACCATTCAAAGCCCAATATTTTACATATAAATCACTACAAGAATTTGGGTTATTGGTGATAGTCCTTTAGGGACAGTAGGAAAACTGTCCCTAAAGACACCCTTTTTGGTGACACTATATTCCTTCCTGTCCCTAAAAGACCAAAAAAAAATTAGCGCCCCCTCCAATCTGCTGGCGGCAAACCTTAGCGCCAATTTTGGTGAAATTATAAATTTTTTTAATAAAAAATTATCAAAATAGCCTTTTGGGACGGTAATGTTACCGTCCCAAAAGGATATTTAAGTGAAATTATATTGTTTTAATAAAAAATTATCAAATACGCTTTTGGGACGGTAAGTTACCGTCCTTAATTAACTGTACATATATAAAAACGCCGTAGTTTTTGTCAAGTTAAGTATATATCTATATATATATTTCTTATTCGATTTGTCTGAAGATTTTTTCTAGCCGGCCCTGCTATCTCGATTTCGTCTTCCGTCCTCTCTCTCAAACTGGTTTGTTCTTCCCCAACTGATCTCTTTCTTTTCAATTAAGTATAGATCTGTATATGTAATCCATGAGGGATCACTCTGCTAAATTTCTTATGCCCTAGGTCGATTTTCTCCTTCCGTCCTCTCACTCAAATCGGTTTGGTTTTCCCCAATCGCTCTAATTCAATTCAATTGAGAGGCAGCAAAGTCCGTCCATCAACAGGTTCATTATCTTCTCACAAACTCTTCTTTTTCATTTTTGAATATTCTTCTTATGGATTCCGGTGTTGTAAGTGTTAGATGTGCTAATCTTCTTGGTGATGATTAAAGTGTCTTTAGCTGTGAATCGAATATTGATTGAATTTGTATTCCGAAGTTGGAATGATTGTTGGCAAATTGATGTCTAAGATGTTTGCATGGTGGTTTAATTCTTTTTTCCTTCTTTTGTTTCGATCTTGGTTCTAAATATCTCAGATAGGTATATCCTTGGAATTTCTCAATAAGCATCTGAACTAATAAGCATCCTTCTTTTAATTGTTATTATTTTATTTATTATTATTTTTCCCTAATATAGCAGGTTTTGGGTTTAGGTTATATTTCATATCGTGATTCCTTTCTTCTTTCTTACCCATGACATCAGGTCTTGGTGGTGTGCGAGGTGTGGCTTAGGGAAGAGCACGACGGCTGTGGTCGATTGGTGGTGCGGGTGGTGCGTTGGTGGTCGATTGGTGGTGCATCGGAGGTTTGGACAGTGGTGGTTGAAGGGTTGGGCTCTTGTAAGTTGTAAGTACTTTAAACCCTAATTTCCCTTCTTGTTCTTGTGATGAAAATTCGCACAAAATCAGACAAAGCTTCTCTATCATAACCAAAATAATAATTGTAGTGTGGGTACATGGTACTGTTATAAGAAAATATTTTTTTTCAAAGTATAATGATTTACCATAATTACATGGTCTTCCATCTTTTCTGAGAAATTATATTAACCTGTAGGCTATTTTGAGTTTAGAATGAAATCCCAAGGTTTTAATTATCCATGTGAACTTACACCATGTAATTTGATTGACAGTTGATGAATATTTGTTCAAAAAAAATAATCTAGTTGAAATCACATATTACATTACAAGTTTCCAATAGAATTAGGGTGTTTAGAGAAGGCCTTTGTGTGCTGAGTCGTCGTAATATTAATGGTGATGGAGGGATATGGCGTGACCCAATCTTGGAAAAAAGTTGTTATTGAAACTCAATCTTTTATTACAGTGGATTTGATTTTGCTGAGGAGCGATGAATTATTGATTTTCTGCTGGTTCCAATTTTTATTTTTTATTTTATGTGCCTTTTTTATTTTTTGCTGAGGACCGATGAATTATTGAAACTCCATCTTTTTTGTTCTAGTCACAGGACGTACAACACAAGCCTAGCTCAATGGAAAAATGCCATTTTAATGGACTCACCACATAAGTGCATGTGTACTACTATTATGCATTAATAATGTATCCCTTTAGTTTTAATTTTTGCACTTCTATTATGAATTAGATGTTTCTGGTTTTAAGAGATTATGTAGTTTTCAAAATTGATGTTGTCTTTATAAAAAATTTCCTTTGTTATTATTATAGAAAGTACGCAGGAAAAAGAAAATATAGGCACCATACAGTAAGAGAGAAATATTTAATTTTATATTATCATCAAATGGTGAGATTGATTGATTGATTGATATTTTCCCGATGCACCACCAATCGACCACCAACGCACCATCTCCCCTCATGTGGGTAACCTCTCCTTTCTCAAGATGCTAGATCTTAGTCGTAATAATTTTCATGGTCAACTTATTCACCAGATCAGTCATTTGCGTCGCTTGAAAGTACTCAATATAGAGTTTAAGTATTTGGAAGGGGTGATCCCTGCAAGTATACACCATTGCCGACAGCTTCAACTCATATCTATGGCAAGGAATGAATTTACTGGCAGCATACCCAAGGAATTGAGTACCTTGTCTAGTCTTAGTGTGCTTTTTCTAGGCCGAAACAACCTCACAGGTACAATTCCATCTTTCTTTGCTAACATGACAAGCTTAAAGTGTCTTGGTTTGGAAGCTAACAAGTTTCATGGCAATATTCCTAATGAGATATGTAATGTTCCAAGTTTGGAAGTAATTTTTTTCGGTTTAAATTATCTTACTGGGTTGATTCCTCCATTTTTATTCAACATCTCCTCTATCCAACGAGTTCATTTAGACAGTAATGACCTTTCCGGAAATCTTCCCTTGAGTAGTACTTCTTGGCCTTCTAATCTTGAATTTCTTACCCTTGGAGCAAATCAACTCAGTGGAAACATCCCTTCCTATCTGTCCAATTTTTCTATGCTCGTTGATTTATGTCTAGGTGTCAACCAATTCACTGGAACACAGTCTAGGCCACTTAGAATCACTGACAACACTTAATCTAGAGAATAACTAGTTAAGTATAGAACCGAGAAGTCAGGAACTTAGTTTTCTCACTTCTTTGACAAGCTTGAAATCCTTGAAAAGGTTGTCTATATGTAATAATCCAGTTGGCGGCTTCTTACCAGATTTTTTGGAAATCTTTCTAGTTCCCTTCACAGATTTGATGCATGTAATTGCCAACTAATGGGTCAAATTCCCGGAGGAATAGGTTCCTTTACAAACTTGAATTACCTTATCTTGAGTGGGAACAATTTCAACAGTTATGTCATCCCAGAATTCCTAAACGCGTGATGTAATAAAGAATAATTCTTTTTATTGCGAGTTAGTTGTCCCGATTATCATATGATATGGGGATCTACATAAACCTGTGAGATAACCCTACTGTCAGAATATGACATTACTGTTCAATTAAAATACTTTAGTACTGTTCAATAAATATACTTTATTAAAGAAGATGGTATTACTGTTTAACTTTGTAAAAAAGGTAATCTAAGTAAAAATGAAATTAAGAAAGCTTTTGTTATTTTCTTCAAAAAAAAAAAAAAAAAATAAGACAGAAGGTGCATGTCGACTTTTGCAGACAATTGGAGTGTAGATATCATCTCCTTAAATAAAGAATCTTTATTGCAAAATACTAATAATAATAATATATAAAGAGTAAATATTGATTCTTGTTTTATTCTATGATTTTGGGTTTTTTTATTTATTTATTTATTTATTTTTAAAGATTTTCATTGTATACATTAAGATAATGGTGCTTGTATAATTCAATCCATCTTTAGCATATTCACTATATTTCTCTTTGTTTTCAATCGTCAATAAGAATCTAATTGCATAAATGGTTCCATGTAGGAACAAGGGAATTTTATTTGTTGCTATTGACCAAAATAGACCTCTCTCAGATCAAGGTCGTTTTGACATTGTTTTGCACAAGGTTAGTGGAAACTTATGTTTGTATTACCACCTCCTCTGTTGTCTGTGTATGTTAATTTTAATTTTACCATAAAGGTCCCAGATGCTTTTCATGTTTTATGAGTTGCTTGTTCTGTTTTGTTGTGTTATGACTCATGATTGATTACAATTATTACCTCTCGTGGGGTTGGTGATGGTTATTATGTATCTCTTTCTAACAGACACAATTACGCATTCTTGCACTCACACGCATTCACATGAGTGAACATGCAGATTTCTTAGTGCTTGAACTCTTTCATGCCTGACATAATTTGTAAAATACTGGTTATTTAACCTATTATGAATCATTATCCAATCATTGTGGTCAAACCTACCCATGGACTATTTTCTAAGCCTTTTCTCTTTTCTTTTCTTTTTTTCCCTCTTTCCTTCGCAGAATATTTTCAATTTCTTTAAATAATTTCATTTAAATAGGTTATATTGCTACCCTTTTATATCATCTGAGCAAGGGAGACCTAAACTAATCTTATATCAACAGGTTAATCTTAGTCATTTTTTCAGTAGAAAGTAGGTCCTATTATTTTCCTTCTTGGGTAATAGAGATTTGGAGATTTTGCAGGGTAAAAGTGTTTTCTTGTGTGTGAAATATAACTTTTTGTGATTGACGTGATTTTAAAATGATGGTGGAATATTTGTCGCGCCAAAGTGATTGTAACTGTGAATATTGAAACATAACTTTTTGTGATTGGCTTCTTTTTCAATATTCTCCATCTGTATGCTTTTTTTCTTCTTTTCTGGCCATCTGTATGTTTTTTCTTTTTCTTTCTAAGGTCAAATGACTTGTTTATAATTGATATTCTAACTTTTTTTATTTTTTATTTTATGTAAAATGCCAGTTAGATGGATAAGTCTTGGATTCATCATCACACCAGGGGTAGTCGAACCTATTTTGATGGCATAGAAAACTTCATTAAGGTGGCTAGTCGTCATTTACAGATAGGCGGTATTACCCGATGTCCATGTCGTCGTTGCAAAAATAAGGAATATCTTGAAATTAAACAAGTTAAGCAACATCTCTTGAGTAATGGGATGGACAAGGGGTATACCAATTGGATATATCACGGGGAGGTTCCTCAAGCCAACAATAATGTTAATATTGATGTTAATGTTAGTGGGAAAAGTGCCCATGATGAAGATGAAAATGTAGATAATGTATTTGAGTTGTTGGATAACGTACAAATGGGAAACTTCAATAATGCAAAACAACAAGAAGATTCGCCTGAAGTTGATGTGGGAGGAGGAAATTTTGCTAGATTGTTAAATGATGCACAGTGTGAATTGTGGCCAGGTTGTCAAAAATTCTCGAAGTTGTCAGCGATATTAAAGTTATTCCATGTGAAGGTTATGACTCGAATGAGCAATAAATCATTTGACATGATGCTTATGGCATTTAAGGAGATGCTTCCTGACAACAATGTGTTACCAAAGTCTCACTACGAGACTAAAAGCTTGTTGCGAGATTTGGGTCTCAGATATGAGTGTATCCATGCATGTAAACATGATTGTGTTCTATTCTGGAAAGATAATGTAGGTAAGGAAAATTGTCCACAATGTGGTAAGTCGAGGTATAAACCTCACAAAGGTAAGGGTAAGAAAATCCCTCAAAAAGTTCTTCGGTACTTCCCTTTGAAATCAAGACTTCAACGGTTGTTTATGTCGAAGGATACAGCCTTAGATATGCAGTGGCATAAGGAGAAACGTGTGAAGGAGACAAATGAGTTAAGACATCCGGCTGATTCAAAAGCTTGGGAGGATTTTGATAATAAGCATAGTTGGTTTGCTGCTGATCCTCGTAATGTTCGTGTTGGATTAGCAACTGATGGATTCAATCCATTTGGTAACATGAGCAATTCTTACAGTATGTGGCCTGTGATGATTGTGCCTTATAATTTGCCACCTTGGATATGTATGAAAGAACCGTATGTGTTCATGTCGTTGCTTATTCCTGGTCCAACCTCGCCTGGTAATGATATTGATGTGTACCTACGGCCTTTAGTTGAAGAGTTAAAAGAATTGTGGAGGGATGGTGTGACGACGTATGATGCCTACAGTAAATGTAACTGTAAAATGCATGCGGCAATGATTTGGACCATTACTGACTTTCCCGCCTATGCGATGGCTTCTGGATGGTTGACGAAGGGTTATCTAGCATGTTCAAATTGTAACAAAGAAACATGTTCTTGTTATTTGAAACACGGACGGAAGTTATGTTATTTGGGAAGTCGTATGTTTTTGTCACTAGATCATGTTTTTAGGAAGCGGTACAAGCAGTTTAATGGTGAGAAACAAGATAAAGGGCCACCAAAGCAGTTGATAGGTGATGATATTCTGGAACAACTTAACCGCATACCCGAGGTTAGTTTCGGAAAGGGACCAAATAACAAAAAGCGAACTCGTGAAAATTTTGAACTTAACTGGACAAAGAAGAGTATTTTCTTTGAACTACCTTATTGGCAAACCCTTTTGTTGCGGCACAACCTAGACATTATGCATATAGAGAAAAACATATGCGATAATGTGTTGGGGACATTATTGGACATTGAAGGTAAAACGAAGGATACATTCAAAAGTCGGTTGGATTTAGAAGCAATGAAGATTAGAAAAGAATTGCACCTCAAGCGTAATGGTGAAAAATTTGAGATGCCACGAGCGCGCTACACATTGTCAAAGAATGATAAAAAGCAATTGTGTGAATGGCTAAAATCAGTTAAGTTCCCAGATGGCTATGCCTCGAACATAAGTCGGTGTGTGAATGTTAATAATTGTAAGATATCTGGATTGAAAAGTCATGATTCACACGTTCTCTTACAGCGCCTCCTCCCCATAGCTATACGAGGATTCTTAGATTCGGATATTTGTAGCGCAATAGCAGAGCTTGGTTTATTCTTCAAGGAATTGTGTTGTCGAACTGTTAAAATGGATGTCTTAGAGACAATGGAAAGGGACATTGCTATTATACTATGCAAGTTGGAGATGATATTTCCTCCGTCATTTTTTGACATTATGGTGCACTTGGCTCTGCATTTGCCGCGTGAAGCCATTATTGCTGGCCCCGCACAATATCGATGGATGTACCCCATTGAAAGGTACTGTACTTTTTTTAATACACAAACATTATTTTTATGACAAGTTCTAATGGTCTGTTAGATTTAATATTTGTAATAGTTTTAATGGTTACGTAGATTTTTGCATACCCTCAAACTGTACGTGCGTAACAAAGCACATCCTGAAGGGTCCATTGCTGAAGCTTACTTAGATAATGAATGCTTGACATTTTGTTCAAAATTTCTCGGAGGGATTGAGACACGGTTCAATCGAGAAGAAAGAAATAATGAGGGGGATTGCAACAATAATTGGACCACTATTTCAGATCTAAAGCAAGTAGTTCGACCTCTAGGGGCGCAAAGTTTGGAGATATTGTCTCGTGAGGACATGGAAATGGCTCGATTGTACGTGTTACGAAATTCTGGAGTAGTTGAGTCATACGAAGAGTAAGTAACTTATTACATGTCATATCATGTCAGCTTATGTGAATATATAGTCTTTTTAATACATGTACACAATTTTATCTTAACACCATCTAATTATTTAGGAAACACAAGGTGGAACTTGAAAGACAAGATCTGCGAAATGTTCCTCAAAGACATGCAAAAGAATTTTCTAGATGGTTCGAAACACAAGTAAGTTCATCATGTATAAATTGAACTTAATTAATCAAATTCTTTTATTTAATGAAAATGATGTGTCATCATTTATTTAACACTACAATTTTTTTAATAGATCTTGAAAATGCGTCATCATCAAAAGGAAACAACTTGTGATGATTTATATTCGCTAGTGTGTGGACCTGGATCTCTAATAAGTCGATATTCTACTTGTATTGTAGATGGGATTAGATTCCATACTAAGGAAAGGGAACAAAACCGACGAACGCAGAATTGTGGTGTGTTAGTGAAAGGAGAATGTGAAGATTACTATGGTAAACTAACAGATATCATTGAGTTACGATATCCACTGGGTAGACAAATCTTCCTTTTCAAATGTGATTGGTTTGATGTTAGGATTGGTATACATAAGGATACCTATTTTAAAAGCGTAAATGTAGCCAGTAGAGCTTACAAAAATGAGCCATTTGTGTTAGCAAATCAAGCAAAACAATGCTTCTATGTCAAAGACAACAAATTTCAAGGGACATGGGAAATAGTTCAAGATATAACAAATAGAAGCTCATTTGATGTACCTGAAAAAGAGGGTGAAGCAGTAGTAGAGGATGAAATGCTTAACACTGCAGCGTACCAAGAGAATGAACCAAGCATTGTGGATAGGATTGTTGAAGTGGACTTGGACATGGATCCACTCTCTTTGAACAGGGACGATTTAGAGGGTGAAACCCTTAATGCTAAAGTGATTGAAAAATGTAGTGGTGAAGCAGCAATTAATGACGACTTTTGGGTTGACGAGGATGATGATAGAGATGACGTTCAGTATAGTTCAGATGAGGAACCAGAACTGTTGTCCGAAGATGATACTGATTTAGATGACATATGAAGCTTTGTATTGTTACGCATGTGCTGTATTTTTTTGGAATTATGATTAATACATTATGTGAACTTTATTTAGAATTGAGTTCCTTCTCTTTTTCAATATATTTATCTTTTAGTTTGGTTGTGGGCTTCATTATTTTTCTGATTTATTTAAACTAATCTTAGATCACTTGATTTATTTTCTGTTTATGTTCTGAAGTAGCCAATATCAAATAATGACTCAGAATGTATTATGCATATGCTTGTTTATTTTGATTTAATATTACTTAATTCTTCATATTAGCTTGTAGACAGAATTATGGACACTTCTGAGGCACCAATGCGTAGAATATTAAGGTCCAGCGTGACTCAAACTCGAACTGAGACACCATCTACAAGTTCAGCTGCCACACAACCGAGTGGAGAAGCTGATGGTAGTAATTCATTAAGTCAACAGCCTATTATGGAAGGTGATGGTAATACTTCGCAGACAAGGCCACAACCAAATGGAGGTGATAATTATGCTTCATCATAAATTAACTACAACATTTTTGTAGAATGACTATGTTTTAATTAAGTAGATAAATTTTTTTTTTTTCAGGCCCAGTACGAAAAGGGCGTGGAAAAACAAAGAATATAGCCCTACACAAAGCTCAGGACCTCTATGGAAAGGATGTTCCAATTCCGGTAGAGTTTGGGACGGGTTATATTAAACCCGTTGGCAAAAATCACAATTTATGGACGGCTGAGGTTGGCATCCATGCGAGAGATAAAGAAGCATTATTGAAATATAAAACGTGGAGGGAAATTCCAGATTATAAGAGACAGGTCTGCTATGACTATTTTAAGGTAATGAGTTCTTTTATATTCTATATCTTTTTTTTTTTTCTTGAATGGGTATTTGTTTTTTATAAATATTCAAAAGAGGAACAATTACAAGAGGAGAAAATCTCCATTACATGTCACAAAGTGGAATTAATGGGTATTTGATTTTAGGAGTTTTTTTTTTTTTTTTTTTTTTTTTTTTTTTTTTTTTTTTTTTTTTTTCTTCTTTTAAACATAAATCTGGAATTGGAATTTCCTAAATTGCATATTCACCCTCTGTTTAATTGAAGAGAAAATCTAATTTGGAATGAACGCCCATTTTGCTACTTCTAAGTTTGCAATCAATAACATTAATCACTATTTTTCTTTCTACTATTTGTTCAATAACACAAGTGTGTAACAACCCTTTACGGCATTTTAGTCAAGCTGAAGTTTGGTACCACAAGGATACAAAAACACTTGATGCATTTAAACAAGATTCTCAAATAATAATACAGTAATAAAAGAAAGAAAATGGTGGTGGGCTGAGACACGGAATTGGAAGCAGATAGGATAAAACTGCTTCTAAATTGGACCAGTCACTATTTTTCTTTCTACTATTTGTTCAATAACACAAGTGTGTAACAACCCTTTAGGGTATTTTAGTCAAGCTGAAGTTTGGTACCACAAGGATACAAAAACACATGATGCATTTAAACAAGATTCTCAAACAATAATACAGTAATAAAAGAAAGAAAATGGTGGTGGGCTGAGACACGGAAATGGAAGCAGATAGGATAAAACTGCTTCTAAACTGGACCAGTCACTATTTTTCTTTTTACTATTTGTTCATAACATAAGTGTGTAACAACCCACCCTTGAGGACTTAAGCTCTCTCTCTATATATCTACATATGCATACATACTAGCCTATAGGACTTAATTTCCCTTCTCTCTCTCTTTCTCTCTCTCTCTATCTATATTCTAGCTCTTCCATCTCTCAATGGCAGAGTTCCTGAACCAATCTTTTAGCAAATTTACCCTTAATTCAATAAAAAAAAAATCATAAGGGTTCTTTACTGTTACACAATATAAAATAAAGATATCAATCACATATATGAGGGGTTCAGGGAAGAACTCTAGTTTAAGAAAGTGAGATACCACTCTCTTAAAATACTTGTTTTGTTGACTTGTTAGTTATTTTTCATATTTTCAATGCTATTTGTTTTGTGAATTATTGTGCTCTTTTTAACTTAAATTAAATGTCCATTATAAAGGTGACCTTTGGAGTGGATGCACATGACAATGAAACTGATTTCAAGCGAGTAACTAAGGAAATGTCCGAACGCTTGAGGAAATATAGATATAAATTGAAGAATCATTTTGACAAGCATCTTCCAATTGAGAATGCACGCTTGCATCCTTATGGTATTATTGATATTGATGTTTGGGGAAAAATGTGCGATTGGTGGACGTCACCAGAATTTCAAGTTCGGATTTTTAACCACTTGCTTTAAATTACTTGAAATCATTGATTATGATGCATTGATTGACTAGCTATTTAGGTTTCTTAACTTGTATTATTGTTTGAATTGCTATGTAGAAAATAAGTGACAGAAATAAAGGCAATCGTTCGAAGAATAAGATTCCTCATGTTTCTGGATCGATGTCTTTCGCCAGACGCTATAATGTTTATGTACGTAATATTTATTATAATTATTATAAAATTTCAATTTATTATCCATCTAAATCATATTTTGTGTTGCAGCTGAAAGAAAGTCATGAAAGGCAAGAAAGGCAAAACGAAGAAGATGAGGAAGTTGAAAGTCCTGAGGAAGGTCCCGCTATTCGCATGTACAAGGACACGCATTTTAGGGAAGAAACTGGATGGGTAAGCTAGATAGCTAAACAGAACTACGTAAGTTTTTTCCTCCATTTTACTTTCTTTTTATTTTTCTTAATGTGTTATTATTGCCATCTTGTTTGATAATAAGATTGTGTGTGTGTGTATGTGTAGTCAATTAGTTACAGTATATATACTTATATGCAGAAAGGTTATATCTAAATTAAAAACTTTACAAATTAAAAGAATCCGTGTGTAAAGTGGTTTCAGTACAATGTATATGAATTGGGGCGTTAAGAGTGGTAATTAATCAGATGGGAATTAGGTCTTTTGCTTTGATTAGGGTTCCTGTGAGACGACATCATCTGCGAATTAGGCTTTGAAAACAGAAAAGAGAAATGAGAACAGGAGAAATCGTGAGTGTCCTGTGATATTACTTTGCAAAATATCTGTACAAGACCCAATTATAACTGCTAGCTTTCCTGCACAAAGAAATAAAAATAAAAATAAAAATAAATTAAAAAAATCCCTGACCTTATATGCGTTGCAAGTGCTAAAATGCATACTGACTATCGAACTCTCTAGTTTTAATTTTCTATTACTTCTTGTTGGCATAGTTCCGACCTTCATAAGAATCTATGCAAGTGTAAGACGCCTGAAAAAAGTGGATTAAAGAAGAGAATCCCATAGAGTATGATATTGAGGATAATTTCTCCCCAGTTGCATTATTCATTATATAATCAATATAACAATTGTGTTTCTATATTTCCTTAAGCATATTGCAAGTTAAGTTGAGAGGGGAAGCTATTAAGGTAGTATCTGTGTTTATTAATCATGTTAGTAGTGCAGTCCCTGCAGAGACTTTGTGTTGAGGGAAGTTTTAAAGTTGCTACTTGTGTGGGGTTACAATAATGTAATTGTTGAAGGTGATTGACAACCAGCTTTGTGGTCGCGACCCTCTGTTTCTGGGATGCATGTTCTTATTGAAGATGTATCTTCCTTGCTAGCTAAATGTTCTGGTTGTGTGCTGAAATGGATGCCTAGGTGTAGTGATGCTGTTGCTCACTGTGCAAGTAAAATTGCTCTAGTAGGAGTGAAGTAGCAGCTAGAAGGGGTGATGGAGATTGAGATTTGTGGTCTGATGCTTGGTTGCAGGTGTTGGCTTTTGATTGTATATATTCTTAGTTTATTTTTATCCTTTGTTGTTTTTCAGTCAGTGGGAAAAAAATAAATAATAATTATTAGTAGTATTGTATTAATATAATTAACGTGAGAATACATAATTTAGTGATTTCTCTTTAGGCCCCAAACTGCATCAAGCCGCCATTGCAATAATGGATCTAGATTCAGTTGGTGACAAACATTTAAAGTGATTTTTAACAAGCTTTTTGACACAACCACAATTGGATTATCATGTTTTGATATTGAACAAAATAATTCAATGTGTGGTTAAATTTAGTGTATTCAAGATGATTAACTTTTTACTAATGTTATCTTTTGTGGAATGTTTTTTTTGGTAAATCTGTAAATATGTGTGTGTGTGTGTGTGTAGAATAGATGCGTATATATATTGCATTGGACAGTGGCTAGGAATGGATCTACAAGATCTGCATGCTTGAGACTTGGAGAGAGGTTGTATAGTGGTTAGTAAGCCAAGTTAGAAAAAGTTTGAAGGGCTGCCCCATTTTCTTGTGACGTGGTTTGTAGCGCAAGAGGGGAGGAAGCTCCTATTTGGGTGTTGAAGCATTCCATCTTGAGTTATCCATTTTTTGGGGTTAAAGGGGATGGCATTGTAATTCCATTGTGGATAGTTTGAGAGTTTAGTGGGCTTGTGGTAGGGGTCTCGTGTAGTAGTTCTCTTGGGTACACTCCCCCCTTTCTGGATGGTTTAAGAGAGTTTAGTGGACGGTTGGTTTGGGATGCATTTTGAGGATTGGGAGGTGGAGGAGAGCCTTGTTCAGCTCTTAGCTATGTTGTATTGTCGTCAAATTGATGGATGAGTGGGGTTGGGTACCTTCTTCTCATGGGAGATTCATGGTCCCTTTTTATATAGGAGGTTATTGGATGTGCAGGAGAGTCCATTCCCTTGGAGTGCTATTTTGTGTATAAAAGTCCAGTTGATGCTGGCTTTTTCGGATGAATTTGACGATCAACAATTTGAGGAGAATGTCAGATCATTGTCGATAGATGTTGTATGTGCAAGAGAGATGAGGAGTTTCAGTGGTTAGGGAAGGATGGGATATGCTTCTTGCCTTGTTTGGTGTTCGCTTGTTCATGCCATTATTTTCGATGGGCATGGATGAAAGCTTGGAGAGGGTATATAGTGAGCAAGCCCACTTGAGACCTTTGGAGGGTTGCTCCTTTCTAGATGGCGGGAGA